AACGGTTGACGTGCGCGAAAAGGGGCCGTCGTCGCTTCTAAAAGTGAACGTTTGGCCAAAAATGTACGGGCGATCGGGGCCACGACGCCGGCGACGAGCCAGCCGTAGTCCAGACACAGCTATTTTGGCTCGTGGGCTCTTTCATCGGTCCAGGCCAGACGGTCTCGCGAAAGAAACCAGGATGCGCTTTCATTCTTTACGCCTTTTTTTCGGTCGGGTGATTAAGTAATACGTAATTAATAAAGGCACCGTTTCAGTCCGATTTTTTATCGCGAACACGCTCAAAGTAATTACAGCACTCCCTCCTCCGCCCCAGACACGGTCCGCGCCACGGCGAGGCGAGCCGCGTGTTTCGTACTCGTGTGTACGACGGGCCCGGCCATAAAATTTTGAACGTGCAATTAGGGCCAAGTCGTTAATTTATTTTTCTCTACGTGTGGCCTACACTTTCAGCACCCATTGTCCAACTTCGCGCCGCGCCGCGCCGGCTGCGCGAGCTGTCCTGCGAAGGCGTGATCGATTTTATTGATTAAACGGTGCTGATTCTGTATCCTTTCATCGGCCGCCCCTGTCAGACGATCCGACGACTTTTATGGTCCCACGGTGTTTCGTGTGCGTACACGAAACTCCGTGATTCTTTAGCCTGCGTCGGAGTCTTCAGAAACGAGACGTTGTACTCTCATTAATTATCTTAGACGACAATGACAACGAGGAACACACGTTCGCTCGTGTTTCTGGCTGTATCACCAACCGGGACTATTCAGGAAAAGAAAAAGGAGAATCATTGAAACGACAGTAAAAAGAATGACGTTGAAAAGGACGAAGGAGGTTCTATGTTGCACAAAAGTATGCCGTTAGGAGACCACAAAAATGAACGCCTCTGGCACTTTCATAGCTCACAGTATATTACTAAATAAAATTTCAGTTGTCCAACGTGAAAGTGTGAGATCGCAAAAAGTAAAAGTAAAGAACTTCCACGGGCTCGTCCGGGATTTGAACCCGGGACCTCTCGCACCCGAAGCGAGAATCATACCCCTAGACCAACGAGCCAACTTGATGAACTTTTCTTAAAATCTGCAGAAATCCACCAATATCCTCATTCGTGATAACGTATCGCTATTGATTATCTATATTTATAAACGCGTTATCTCTTCGATAAATTTATCGCTCAAGAAACGATCAATGGAGTGCATAAACAAGTTTAATTAATCTGCCAAGGACAATCGTTCAGTAAATTAATTATTCTATTGATCCAGCAGATGGCGAGTATCAGATAATTGCAAGGCGCGAACTTGCATTCCGTGGTCTCGTTTTCTTAATTGATTGGCTGGAAGCTTGTCGAAGTGGATTGGTTTTTGCCGCATCGTCGAAGATCCCGTAGCGAGCGGACGGAAACGCGATCGGCACGACGCGGAAGAAAAAAGATAAAAGTCTCTAATTAGCCCATTTGAATGGGGGTCGTGTGTCAAACGCGAGCGGCTCGAAGTTGGTGCGCGTGGCGCCACCTGTGCGACGAACGTTGCATTCGCGATTAGCGCGGTCGCGTTGGTCTTCCCGCGAGAGGATCCGGAGCCGCCATCAGGACCGAGTCCTCCGGGGTCGCAGCCGTTCAAGACACAATGTTGCAGAGAGGTCGGCGAGAGCGCAATTACTTTTCAACGATGTGATTACGGACGCCTCGAAACACACGGAGGTTTCCGCAGCTTCTCTCGCGTGTACCGGCGCTTATTCTCGGGTCTCCGGGTTCTTTAGGAATTAGGGTATAGGCTAATTTCCCCCCTCGAGGCCTGAAAGGATCTCTTTCCTACCGGGAGACGTGTCTGCCCGATGAAACGAAAGCGTGATCCCCAATTTTTCAAGCGGGAATGGTGCCGTGTTAACGTTAATGGACATTGTTATTCATGATAGAACGCTACACGACACGCTCGCAACAAACCGAACACGTTACCCTCTTTCCCCGGGGACCAAGGTGGTTGAAGCGGTCGATAAGACTTAACGGACACTTCCTAAACGGCGGTCAGCACAAAAGGAAAAACGAAAAAACCGTTTCTAGCGTTAGGTATATTATTGCATCAGAGTGCAGGCCACTCTCTCCTTGGTTTTCCTTTTATTCCCTTGCCCGAGTGGTTGAATATGCGCTTGTGTGTGCATTCGGATGATTCTTTTTTAAGCGTCCCACGAGGATCCTCTGGACGGCACTTTGCGCTCATAAAGATTAGCAAAAAGGTGTGTCGTAAAAATTCGTGGCTTCGGAAATCGTAGGAATTTTTGAGACAGTTTTTATAACGGTGCGTGTTTACGGGGTCCCTGAGAGCGGCCGCCATGCTTTTTAATTAGAGCTAATCTCGACCGTAAAGCCGAAGGGCGATTAAGAGATTCGATGGCCACCATCATCATTTTACGACATTGTTGTCCTTTTTCGGACAAAGCATAATAACGCCTTACTATTGTCCCGTGCTGAAACGTAACCCTCTCCCCTTTGCCCAGGAACCGTTGAACTTACGGAGGTTACCGCAACGTAAACCTTTTTTTACTGGTAAAGCGGGGACTTTTCCTATAAAATCCGATAATATTCCTGGTCATAAAGACAAATACTCAGGATCGGACATGTCTCGGCCAAGCAAATAGTGAACTCGTGTGGAAAGAAAGGAACAGAAATATGTAAATATTCATATGTTCAAATCGGTCGATTTGGATTAAAACTTTTTCTACCGCTCAGAGGACATTTACCTGTATTATTCAAATAGTTTTTGATGTTTTGTCAAAATGATACGCTAGGATTAAGTTTTGTTCGAGAAAGTGTGTTTCAGGTATAGATGCTTCCACATATCAGAAGATTCTCAAATAAAGACAAAGAAAAACTACTTTTTTCTATCTCAATGCTACTTATTATGCAATAATTCTTTAAAAAAAGGTGGACCATCTCTTCACGATTTACTCTATCATGTGATTAGATATTAAATATTATGCAACAATAGAATTAAATAAAAATTTATTCATTTTTAATGTAGGTTTAAGCGTTAGCGTTTTACAGAAAAGAACAATAATATACATTAATTGCTTCTAACGTTGCGTTTTGCTCAAAAGAATAATAACACAGATTAATTGTTTCGCACTATTTTCAATTTAGATTTAAGCGTTAGCATTTTACAGAAAAGAACAATAACACAAACTAATTGTTTCGAATTTTTCCGGAAAATCTATGAAGAACATAAGGAAAACATAATAGTCAGCGTGAAAGCAAACTGATAACACTGTTCTAATTATCGTTCCGTTATCTCCATTTAGTTAATTACAGTTCCGTTGCGAGTCGGTAAAACCCGCCACTCATAAAAGCGGTTGTCAGTAATCAGCTTGGGGTGAAAGTGCCCCTTTCCCGAAGTGCTTGTGAATTAGTTTAATATTCGAAAGAACGTTTCCGTTCCCCGGGGGAAGAAGCCAAGAAACATTTCGTGTTATACTAAAATAGAAGAAATGAAAGGCGGCGAGGAATGCCTGGAACACGCGTTCATATATCACCAACACAAACCCCAAAGCTGTTATCGATCATTAAGATCTCTATGATCTACGGGCAGCCGTGGTTGGATCCTCAAGGACACGCGACGGGAATTGTGTTACTCTGCACAAGTACGGGGTATTTCTTTAAACTAATTTTAGCACTGACCTGTGCCATGACTAACACTAAACACTTTATACCGCGCTTTGCTAAAAAAACCTGACCACGAACAGTGCGAACACGCGAGATTAACCTGTAATTAAGCTTAATTCGCTCTCGCCTTGAACATGTCGTTTTCAGGGACGCATTTCGTGTCTGAGCCTTCGTGTGATATTTTGACTCGTCATGCAAAGAACGGAATGAATGTACGTGAGACGTTATAGAAGAATTGTTTGCAAACTTTCCACTAATTCGAAACGATTAATTACAAAAACTGACACACAGCTGGTAAATGTAAATAAAAGGCATAACCGTTTTCTACATCGAATAGAAACTGTATCAAAACATAGTCGACTTCAAATAGAAGAACGGAACTCGTGCTATAAACACATCGGTCTTTTAAGCAGCGGTTCGTAACCTTTGTGGTGATCGGCATTCCCTTGAGTCTATAAACAAGTTTCCATACCCCCTTGAAATATGTAGTTTTATTTCTGTGTGTAGGAAATTACATTTATTGTAAGGTAATATATTCATACATACAAAACAATATCGTAATATTTAATAGTTACATGGTTGTGGTTTATTCATAATAATACTTCTGAAGTGGACACACTTTTTCAAAGAGACCTGCGCAAATCAACACTCGCATTTAACCGATTGATGGCTTTTCATTGTATTTCCATAGAAACTACAGAAACTTCGCGCGCACCCCGGATTAAGAACCACGGATCTAAGACGTCGCCAAACGGCAGAAAACGAAAACACGGAAGGACGGAATCGTATCCTACACAAACGTTTAATCCTTCATTCTGTGGGGAGGTAATCTCCTTAAAAACACTCTTACATAAGCGATTCCTAAATCCAGCGCGATCATAAAAAAGAATTCAATACTCGCTACCGCAAAGATCCTACCGTCGATTCGAGTCACCGGCGTCTTAACGGTCGGGCGTGTGAGGGGCGGGAGGCAGGATAAACGGAGACGAGAAAGAAGGAGAGAGAGGGAGAGAGAAAAGGTTCTCGAAACCGCAGGATCCTTATCGATACCGTCAGCGCGCAAACCCGTGTCTCGTAGGTCCACGAGATCGCCGAGGGTAGGAGGTCCGGACCATAGGTGGAGGAAGGGAGGCGAAGAGAGGGTACCGCGGTGAGGCCCCTCCCTTGTGCCCCCCTCCCGGCGCCCGAGAGGATCCCTCCGGTCGTCCGGCAGGACCCCCCACCAAAGGTACGACAGGACCCGCGGCCCACCTGTGCCGCGGATGGACCCTGCACGCTTCTCCGCTGATCCGACGCACAGTGTGCCCATAAGGCCCATTCGAAGTATACTTACGAGAGCGCACGAGCCTAGCAGGCGCACGAACGAACGAGCGAACGAAGGAACAAACGAACGAACAAGCGAGTGAGTGTGCAAACAAACGAACGGACGAACGAACGAACGAACGAACGAACGAACGAACGAACGAGCGAACCGAGCGGCCGATCGAGCGAACGAAGTGGGACCGCAGAAAATAATCAGCGGTGGGGGGTGATTCAAGAATCGACGTGGACACCCTCGCCTTCCAAAGTCATTCACCTAACGGTCATCGCCGCGTCAAGAATCTTCTTCATGTTCGTTCTTCTTCTTACCGATCATCCTTCCGTTATCCGGCCGGCATGAAGGGACTCGTTCGTTTTTCCGCTGTCAGTGTACTCCGATCATCCAGTAGAGACACTTGGGCCTGTCGGGAGGATACCAAAGGCGGACAGCGGGATTTACTCGTGTTTTCCGTACAATAAACTGCTCGGTGACCCAAAGTGACGTTCGTTGTATAGTGAGCATTGTTTCGACTTTTCCCGCGCACCGGATGTACCACGCACGGCGCCCGGTTGTTGACTGAAATAGTGGGCCACGTTACGACCTGTGTTGTTTGGTTAGTTTGTTTCGCCAGTGACCGCTTGATTTTCTCGACTTTCAAGGCACTGACAGTACCCGACGCACCGGTGGCTACAGCCGGTCGGTCAAAGTGCCACTGAAATCGGTTGGTGACGGTTCCGTGGAAGGATACGGTGGTTATGTGTTGGAAAGTGGATTTTTCTGGAGGACAGGAACACGTTATGCACCATCGCTGATGATCGAAGAACTTTAGAAGTTAGACCACAGTGACTAAAAAAGGTATAATAAATCGATTTTTGTAAAGAGCGTTGCAAGCAAGCCGCCGAATCTAGCGATCGCGGTTTCAACCGGTGTAATTTTCTCATCGAGGTTAATTGAAACGGTGACACGGCGAACGTTAAGTGGATCGCGACTAGCGGCCGATAATCAATTACGTTCAGCCTCCGCACCGCGCACGGCGTTTGTTTCGTCGGATAAATAGAGCTGAATCGCGTACACCTACGAGCGAGCAGAAGCGGCGAAGGACGGCGTGCGTGTCGTAATTTGAGCGCGTCGAGCCGACCGATTTCTTTGTCGTTGATCATGACAACGGAGCGCGAAAACCGTCACGGTTCGACGAGATCCCGACGATACCGCGGGAGGATCGAGCGATAACGCCGCCGCGAGGTCGTCCGCCCGTCGCGATTACGGCTAATTATTTAATTCATTAAACGGCGAACGGGGGCCGATCGTATCTGCGCCGATCCGCGACGATAACGAGCGAAATGTTCTCAGGGAGCAATCAAGTATTAGCGTACGCCGGAATCCATTAAAGGATTTACATCGTCGCGGGTTTAAAGTCCGGGATAATTAATATGGCGGTATTAATAGAACGAGAAATTATGCGTTACGAAATGGTCCGTGTGTCAGGACACGATCGTGTGCGGGCGACTCGCCGGCGTGGACACACGCGCGGACGGGTCGGCTCGCGGGAAATGCAGGCGTCGCGTTCCCGTTTCGCGCGTGTCGGACGCGTTGCGCGATTGTCAGATACGAATCTGAATCGGGTTATCGAGGAGCGACGGAATAATAGCATCGGAAACAAACGGTCCACCGTTGCATCGGCGCGAAGGCCGATCGCCGCGCCGGAGCGCGCGTTGCGGAACGGCGGTCCGTTTCGAAAGACCGGAAGCTGTTCTCTGCTAACTGGATCGCGTTTTGCTTTGCGAAGATGAGGCCGCAGGGTGTTGGGAACGAGCCTGTACGAATGATCTATGGTTTAACGCGTACATTATCGCGCCGGTACTTAGAAAATCTAATAGAATCGAGGCGATTTATTTGATCGTATTGCAACTGAAACGTGAGATTTGTTACGGCGATTAATTAGGCTAGAGAACTTCACGCGAATTTAGATTTTGCAGTTAGGGATTGCGAAACCACAGCAATGTACAATTATATTTTCTACGCGAATAAGTTTCACGGACTAAGGGGAAGAGTGAAATCCTTTGATGAGGATTCTCGAGAACAGAGGTCTCTACCTGATAGCTTTACGGAGATCTTTGTAAGATCTGAAACCATAATAATCTGCAGTCCGGAAACTACGTTCGATATACCTGCACTTCACACATTCTGAAGATTCCGATCCACTTATGAAGTGCTATGAAGATTCATTCGAAGACGATACTAAGAAACAACGAAGCCACGAAGTTTCCAGCATACTTTCGCCGGAGGGTAAAACGATCCAGGTCGGCGGGAATGAGGATATCATCCGAAGACGAAGAACCTTAAAAGTTCACAAGAGGAAAACACTGCGGATGACGTCGACTGTACTGTCAAGAAGTGTCGCACCGAGGGACCGCTATTTTTTATTACAAATTGTCGCAGATAATTGCAGCCAAGAGGAGAGCAGTTAAAAAGTGACCTGTCCGTGTGGC